AAATGTGCCTATGTTGTTTCAAACTCAGACATTAAAGATAGCTTGGTGCATTTCTTATTTTATTATTATTATTATTAAATGTATTACAAAGTCAAAATTCGAAAAAAAATAACATCAAGTTGTCACAACACATGTGTATGCAAAAGTTTCTCTGTACTAATATTGAACTGCCTATTTATATTTCAAATTCAGACACTAAAGACAATTCAAACATGTTTTTTTTTTCATTTGTGTAATAATAAAAAAAGAAATATTATTAATAGTTGTAGTTGGTAAACTAGATGAATGCTTTATGATAAATGTGAAAAATTTTTTTTTATTAATTAAAAAAAAGAGGGAATTTTTTATTTTTTACTTTTTATTCTAATCTTTTATATTCTTTGATCATGGATTTTGTCAGTAATAAAGGCACATCCTTATCCAGTGAAATTATTAGAACATTTGCACACCTGCTGGAGCAACATATGCTTGCCCAGGAGAAAATATTTGTGTGTCTAAGGCAATTGAGGTGAATGATAGAGTTAAACCTTGTATTCAATAAAAAAGGCCTTCTGCAAGGGAATTGAGTTCTTGGAGCATATGTTTCATAATAAATAAATAATAAATAGTTAAAAAAAAATAGCCTTTATTTTCAATGCAACAAAAAATTTTATAAAAGTATTTAATTCATGATACGTGATAGAAGTAGATGATCGGCATATTTTTTAATAATAAAAAACGGGGTTAATATCTATTAATAAAAAGTCTCATTTTCCGAATCCAGACACGTCCATAGAATTCTTTATTATTTTTTTTATATCAGACATACTTTTATATCAAATCAAATTTATAGTCATATATTAAAAAAATTTTTTTGTACATATTGTATAAATATAAAATTTTTATTTAAATGTCTAAACATAAAGAAGTTTCACCAACACTTGCATCTCAAGGAATAATTGACTTTAATTTATACTATGAACCTTTTGCTCATCACTGGTGGCATGAAATTTCTACTGAAAATGGCTCGGAATTTTACCCTATTTGTTTAGGCATGACAATTTTAACTGAGCTAAATAGTAGAAAATTATTGCTTCGTATTATTATGATAAGAGCCAAAGGTTTACACCAGAGGATATGCCTAAAGAACTTATTGAAGAATCTGTTCATAATACCCAACTTTCTCATGATGAAATTCCAGAAACCCAATTATGTATAGTTTCTACCTTAGGATGTAGCTGATAAAATGTTAGCGAATTACAATAAATGAATTTCAAGTAATTTATCATACAATTATTTTAATATTAACAACTTACTTTTGGTGTGATCTAATTTCCTGCCCACTACAAGAAAATAATTATATTATTATTGATACAATCTTTAATAAAATTATAAATAAAGAAAATTATTTTAACTCTCCTGTAAATTATTC